CCTAAACCACGTTGTGGTCATCTAGCCATATCAGCCATATCGAGAGTAATACGGTGGCTGGTTGTCCTTCAGATATCAGGGTAGCGTTATAACATTGACATTCTCTGTAATGCGGTCACCTAACCGTTAATGTCATATATAGGTATCAAATATTATACTAGTATACTTAGATATTATTATCGTATTGAGGTTTTTGTGGTTACAAAGTTTTCCCACGTGTCAGGGAAACATGATCATATCAAACCATGCAATAAACACGACAGGAAACCGGTCATAATGTTAAGATCACTCTGTGTACGGCCAGATAAAATGCAATTCCTTTGAAGTACGAAATAAGCAATTACATACAATTTATACGATGTTTCATATAAAAACACGACTTAATTATATCACTGCCTGTTGCATGTTTGGGGGTAACAAGAAACCCAAAACTAGAGGATAGAACATACCACAAACATGGTGGAACATACACGTCTATAGTGACGAATTTGACGAACGCTTTCTTTCGCCATAGCACGTACAAAACCTTAGACACGAAGTAAAATCATACTTCCGGTAATGTCCAGAACGGGCCATTATCACAGGTCGTCCAGTCGCAACATTTTGTGTTTGGGAGGTTGGAAGGGTATAGAGGTTGGATGGTATAGATGGTATATTATGCCGAAGTTCCAGTCTCGATTCCCATATGACTGCAGTCAGATACCCAGATTCATTCCGATTACGACCCCCGGTGTCTGGCCGCCATTGTGCCCTCGGCTTGTAGTTTCACCAAAAATGTCCCTAATTTGACCATTCTGAGATTTCTCGGGACGTGCTGCTGACACACAGTGACAGGACAGACATACTCATTGTCTACTTACGGCGATAGTTGGTTGAATCATGGTCAATAGGTACATATTGTCGTCATGTCTTCGATATATTTTTAGTTACAGAGCAATGTCCCTTTGTATAGAACAATCACCCCGACTTTTCGTGACTAACTCGTGTAATTTCGGAATTAGTTACGGAAAAGGGCGAGATATGACGAATGTTAATACATCGCTCACCGGGGGTCCGGTTTCCTGTTTAGGGACTGTTCATAATTTATGGCTACCGGGGGTGATGATGATTTTAAGGGGAGGTCACCCATTGGTCATTCACATTGTACATGCTTCTCCATAAAAATCATCATCATATCACACACACACACACACGCACGCACGCACGCACGCACGCACGCACGCACGCACATTGTCCACAATGCCTTTCTATAGATTTACTTGGAAGTTCCCCGATACATTGTTGATGGAAAAGTAACATTAATAAACAGAACAATATGTTGTTGAATCTCTAGTTTAATCTGGCCCATTTGGTCAAGAAAGCCGGATTGTAGACAAGCCAGATTATAGTTCAGTTTGTGTGACAGGGGAGGCTGGGGTTAGTTTTACATTGTGAGTGGTATGTATTATTGTACGAGGCAGCAGTTCAACATTATATTTGAATGATATGTGCATTGTTGGCCGCTGTAAAACAGTTCCGTGATGTTGATCGGGCAACAGGCTCATGTAAGCTTCATCACGATGATGTGTGGGCAGTTAATACAAGCAACGATTCATGCCCGTCAACGCATCCCCATGGTCGACTTGTGTATGGACTGTCGGATCTGGGGAATTTTGTGATGTGCATGGAGTGGGTGAGTGAGCGGATATGGTTGGGTGGGCGAACGGGTGAGTGGGTGAGCGAGTGAGGCACATGGATGAAACCCGTGAGGTGCAAACAAACTTAGAAACATTATCGAGGCGATAATAAGGAACGATCACAGGGTCGTGGTGGGCAATCGTGCAAGGTGCGCCCATCTGACATTAGAATCAATGCATAATGTAAGGTAGCAGTTCGTGGTGAACGCATTGATCATTTATGTGTTACAGGAGGTCAGACATTTGAAGAAAGTTCGCTTCTTTTAACTTTATTCTAAATAAAGGATCACTAGAACAAACAAAGAAGTGCACAGCTTTTGACGAAAACAGACCCCACCTACAGACACTGTGTGCGAGACGGGTATGCCTTTATGTACACGAGCATTTACACACTTATCCTCCCCCCATACATCAGCTAGCACCCTTATAACATGACACCCGTGTGTCGGCGGTTCGTGTAAAGCCAGCATGATATGTGTCGTGTTGGCTGTACCTCACCCAGGCTACACATATATACTCAGTCAAAAAAGAAAATTCACACTCGTTTGGAGGTCGATAAGTTGAACATACATGAAAAGAAGTTTTAAATAATGATTATATTCCATTCTGTACCCATTAAGGACGGTGTACCATAAAAAATCATGTTCATAATGTAACCAGTTCCACCGGAAATGCTACGAAAATGTAAGAGAGTAAAAATGGTAAGTTACAACTTGATGAAAGCATGTCAATAGCGCGTATGCCCTCCATGAGCGTTCACAACTGCGACGCAACGTCTCCTCATGGATTGAATGATGAGTCTGAACACAGACTGGGGGATGCGTCGCCATAATTGTACCAACATGGCACCAAGTTCCTGCAAATTCTGTGGAGGGTTCCTTACTTGAGGGAGTCTTCTGCCCAACACATCCCATACATGTTCTATGGGATTAAGGTCGGGAGACCTTGAGGGCCACTCCATGACATTGATGCCAACATTCCTAAGAAAATTACGCGTTAAATTGGCCGTATGAGGTCTGGCATTATCGTGTTGGAATGTCAGACCTGGGCCATGAGCTGCCATGAATGGCAAAAGCTCTGGAATAAGCACTTTATCCCTGTATCCTGCAGCAGTTATCTTTCCTTGAACGACTATTAAAGTCACCCCAAACCATAACACTACCGCCCCCAAAACGGTCCACTTCCAGCACACAACACTGGGCGTTGCGTTCACCGCGTCTCCTCCAATCTCTAACTCTCCCATCAGAGAAGTGCAAATTGAACCTGGACAGCCGTTGACGTCGGTGTAACTGGGTTAAAATTGGTCCACGATATGGCCGTCGTGCATGGAGACGAGCAGTGCGCAGGCGATTACGTATTGTTTGGGCAGTCACACGACCTCTAAACAATTCATTCCTAGTGGACGTTGCAGTGAGAAATCGATTACGCAAATGACGTAAGACGATTTGTCGGTCTTCTGCTTGTGTCGTCACACGTGGTCTACCCGAACGAGGTCGGTCTGCTGTGGTGCCAGTTTGTTGGAGACGTGTCCGAAGATCATGGATAGTCCGTCGACTGCATCCAATAACCCTGGCAACGTCAGTAACCGACGTTCCCGTATTCAGCATGCCAATGGCACGTTCACGTCGAATGTTTGACAAATCAACGGATAATTGACTGTAAGAACTTGTTTTTCCGAGATGTCACTCTACCGTGCTAACTTGGGCTCAATTGCACGTGTCTCATAAGGTCACGTCACTAGGAACACGAGAAAACATGCTTTTACCGTGATGTACGCTGGCACGTGCTTGCATGCCTGTGCACGTCGGAGTTGCTGTGTGTCTTTGACAACGCATTTACCCTTAATGATAATAATCATAACTCTTGTATTTAGTTTCAAGAAAATATTTAGAAATTTGTGAGTGTGAAGTTCCTTTTTTGACTGAGTGTATATATGTTTGGATGTAACAGACATAAAGGTTGATATGTCTGGGAGTGGGTGGGTGAGTGAGCTTGGTGTAACCAGACGCAAAACATGGGTGAGACATGCTACAAGATGTTATGTGTTAGGTTCGTTAATTATTTCATGTTCCATACACAAAACACACAACATGTCGACTGGGTGACGACTGCGACAAGACTGCCGCGCTTTATTCCCTGACCCGTACATTGCACGTGCAGCATGCGATAATATTTTCGTGACGACTAATCATATAATAGATTCAGGCTGCGGTAGTCTGATTATCTACAATTTTTAATTCAATTATTAACAGTTATAACAATATGCAACAAGAGTGGATGACAAAACCGCTACTTTAATGTTTCTGTAATTCAACCAAGTATCCATTCTCTTCCCACACAGATTACTCAAGTCATATTTTCCCACGTATTCTAATACGGCCATATTTCCCGATTCTCGTAAAATCCCCTGGCGGCAGAAAATCGCAACACGAATTATCTCCCTTCTTTCTATCCAATCAGTGCACGTGTTAGATCCAATATGGCGGCCGCCATGGAATTAGTTGATCAATATGCGAAGGATAGATTCGGTATTTCATGTTTAACTGAAAATCAGAAACTAGCAATAGAAAGTGGGGCCACAAATAACTTGAGTAACCTCTGTGGGAAGAGAATGCCAAGTATCAGACATCGGCAGCACTGCATCGGTGGCCAGACTCAGTGACTTGGCTGAGGTCAATATACGGTTACAGAGTGGGGTTAATTATTACAGGCACATATGTCACAAAACAGTAGGTATCCCGCTGGTTAATGTGAATTCTAACTGGTAGATATGGCTTCTTCCTGGCAGATGGCGACCTGCTGGACGCTGTCATCGAAACACCATAGTCTCACCACGAGGAGGCCATCTACACCAGGAGGAGGCCATCTACACCAGGGGGAGGTCATCTTCACCAGGAGGAGGCTATCTACACCAGGAGGAGGCCATCTACACCAGGAGGAGGTCATCTACACCAGGAGGAGGCCAGCTACACCAGGAGGAGGTCATCTTCACCAGGAGGAGGCCATCTTCACCAGGAGGAGGTCATCTTCACCAGGAGGAGGCCATCTACACCAGGAGGAGGCCATCTTCACCAGGAGGAGGTCATGTACACCAGGAGGAGGCCATCTAAACCAGGAGGAGGCCATGTACACCAGGAGGAGGCCATGTACACCAGGAGGAGGCCATCTACACCAGGAGGAGGTCATCAACACCAGGAGGAGGCCATGTACACCAGGAGGAGGCCATCTACACCAAGAGGAGGTCATGTACACCAGGAGGAGGCCATGTACACCAGGAGGAGGCCATCTACACCAGGAGGAGGCCATCTACACCAAGAGGAGGTCATGTACACCAGGAGGAGGTCATGTACACCAGGAGGAGGCCATCTACACCAGGAGGAGGTCATCTTCACCAGGAGGAGGCCATCTACACCAAGAGGAGGCCATGTACACCAGGAGGAGGTCATCTTCACCAGGTGGAGGCCATCTACACCAGGTGGAGGCCATCTACACCAGGAGGAGGCCATCTACACCAAGAGGAGGTCATGTACACCAGGAGGAGGCCATGTACACCAGGAGGAGGTCATCTTCATCCGGAGGAGGCCATGTACACCAGGCGGATGTCATGTACACCAGGAGGAGGTCATCTTCATCCGGAGGAGGCCATGTACACCAGGAGGAGGCCATGTACACCAGGAGGAGGCCATCTACACCAGGAGGAGGCTATCTAAACCAGGAGGAGGTCATCTTCACCAGGAGGAGGTCATGTACACCAGGAGGAGGCCATGTACACCAGGAGGAGGCCATGTACACCAGCAGGAGGCCATCTACACCAGGAGGTGGTCATGTACACCAGGAGGAGGTCATGTACACCAGGAGGAGGCCATGTACACCAGGAGGAGGCCATCTACACCAGGAGGAGGCCATGTACACCAGGAGGAGGCCATGTATACCAGGAGGAGATTATCTACACCAGGAGGTGGTCATGTACACCAGGAGGAGGTCATCTACACCAGGAGGAGGTCATGTACACCAGGAGGAGGTCATCTACACCAGGAGGAGATTATCTACACCAGGAGGTGGTCATGTACACCAGGAGGAGGTCATCTACACCAGGAAGAGGTCATGTACACCAGGAGGAGGCTATCTACACCAGGAGGAGGCCATGTACACCAGGAGGAGGCCATGTTCACCAGGAGGAGGCTGTCTACACCAGGAGGAGGTCATCTTCACCAGGAGGAGGCCATCTACACCAGGAGGAGGCCATCTACACAAGGAGGAGGCTATCTACACCAGGAGGAGGCCATGTACACCAGGAGGAGGCCATGTTCACCAGGAGGAGGCTGTCTACACCAGGAGGAGATCATCTTCACCAGGAGGAGGCCATCTACACCAGTAGGAGGCTATCTACACCAGGAGGAGGCTGTCTACACCAGGAGGAGGCCATCTACACCAGGAGGAGATTATCTACACCAGGAGGTGGTCATGTACACCAGGAGGAGGTCATGTACACCAGGAGGAGGCCATCTAAACCAGGAGGAGGCCATGTACACCAGGAGGAGGTCATGTACACCAGGAGGAGGTCATGTACACCAGGAGGAGGTCATGTACACCAGGAGGAGGCCATCTACACCAGGAGGAGCCCTTGTACACCAGGAGGAGGCCATCTACACCAGGAGGAGATTATCTTCACCAGGAGGAGGCCATGTACAACAGGAGGAGGCCATGTACACCAAGAGGAGGTCATGTACACCAGGAGGAGGCCATGTACACCAGGAGGAGGCCATGTACACCAGGAGGAGGCCATCTACACCAAGAGGAGGTCATCTACACCAGGAGGAGGTCATGTACACCAGGAGGAGGCCATCTACACCAAGAGGAGGTCTTGTACACCAGGAGGAGGTCATGTACACCAGGAAGAGGCCATGTACACCAGGAGGAGGTCATCTTCACCAGGAGGAGGCCATCTACACCAGGAGAAGCCCTTGTACACCAGGAGGAGGCCATCAACACCAGGAGGAGATTATCTTCACCAGGAGGAGGCCATGTACACCAGGAGGAGGTCATGTACCAGGAGGAGGCCATGTACACCACCAGGAGGAGGAGGCCATCTACACCAGGAGAAGCCCTTGTACACCAGGAGGAGGCCATCAACACCAGGAGGAGATTATCTTCACCAGGAGGAGGCCATGTACACCAGGAGGAGGTCATGTACACCAGGAGGAGGCCATCTACACCAGGAGGAGGCCATGTACACCAGGAGGAGGCCATGTTCACCAGGAGGAGGCTATCTACACCAGGAGGAGGCCATCTACACCAGGAGGAGGCCATGTACACCAGGAGGAGGTCATGTACACCAAGAGGAGGCCATCTACACCAGGAGGAGGCCATGTACACCAAGAGGTGGTCATGTACACCAGGAGGAGGTCATCTACACCAGGAGGAGGTCATGTACACCAGGAGGAGGCTATCTACACCAGGAGGAGGCCATCTACACCAGGAGGAGGTCATGTACACCAGGAGGAGGCCATCTACACCAGGAGGAGGCTATCTACACCAGGAGGAGGTCATGTACACCAGGAGGAGGCTATCTACACCAGGAGGAGGCCATGTACACCAGGAAGAGGCCATGTTCACCAGGAGGAGGCTATCTACACCAGGAGGAGGCTATCTACACCAGGAGGAGGCCATGTACACCAGGAGGAGGTCATGTACACCAGGAGGAGGCCATCTACACCAGGAGGAGGCCATGTACACCAAGAGGTGGTAAGGTACACCAGGAGGAGGTCATCTACACCAGGAGGAGGTCATGTACACCAGGAGGAGGCTATCTACACCAGGAGGAGACCATCTACACCAGGAGGAGGTCATGTACACCAGGAGGAGGCCATCTACACCAGGAGGAGGCTATCTACACCAGGAGGCAGCCTTATGGCCGACCTGAGCTGAAACTATCTTCACTAGGGAGAAGCCATGTCCAGGAGAAAGCCTTCTGCTACATTGGCATCCAGACACTCTTGGAGTGTGTGGGCCGCGGAGGTGATGGAAAGACAATCTATAACAACCACATTAATGCAAATAACCCCTGATAATTAAATTTGTCAAGAAACGTTACGATCACTCCTGCCTCGAAGCTGGATTTTGCGAATCGCAACAGAACTGTTGTGAAAAAGAAAACGCTATGCAATTGCAAAAACAAAATGTCTCCGAATATGCTACGGAATACTATCAACCTGGTCAAGGGATCAGTGTACACGCAATTTTCATTCTTATCTCCCTCGACAGTACACTGATGATCAGGTTGAGACACGCAGAACAATCTTGGGACCTGCGTATTGTCGTCAACGTGTTGTATAGGCCAGCCTAAGTTGTACCCTCCTGTCTCGTTGACATAAAACATGAACGAACCAAATACGGTTTGAATTACTTGTGTCTCTAAACGATACATTTTTGGGGATTTGCTTGGCTTGGCCACAAGAATGCAGTCCTCCCGAAACCGATTACCTGGTACAAGCAGGGAATTCCCCCTGACATACTTTGATGCATAGATACGCGTATGCACTGAGGCGTTGTAATTTCCCCTTAAAAGGAAACTTGGACCGCTCGCTTGTTGAGGCTGCAGTCAATATACTCCTAACGCTGGAAAAACCGGCGATTTGAGAAAGTTGGGTATTTCGAGAGCTTGGGCCAACTGTTTCCTTCTGGCGTCTTCCTCGTGTTGCTCTATTTAACAAGAATAAATAACTATGACTTCTGCATACCCCTGACTGATATCACAAGGAAATCGTCATGTTTAATACATTCCTAAGTCTGGAAGTTAGAAGTGATCCGTTGTACTCCTTCACTCCGGGGTTTCTCCCACACTAAACCCGGAGCCATAATATGCATGGGTATGTTTCACGTACGTGTCCTTCGAGCGTGCACGTGTGTGTGTGTGCGTGCGTGCGTGTGTGTGTGTGTGCGCGTGCGTGCGTGTGTGTGCGTGCGTGTGCGTGCGTGTGCGTGCGTGTGCGTGCGTGCGTGTGCGTGCGTGCGTGCGTGCGTGCGTGCGTGCGTGCGTGTGTGTGTGTGTGTGTGTGTGTGTGTGTGTGTGTGTGTGTGTGTGTGTGTGTGTGTGTGTGTGCATGAGCCTATCCCTCTATTTCAGGGGCGTCAGGATGCTGCATGACCTCAGCCAGACAGTATCTACGTATCTGTTGTTTACAGCAGACTGCTAGCCTGTGTTTCCTTCACCGTCAGCAAATGACGTCATGCCCTGCCAACCAATAGCCCTGTTGACTCGTCAGTATCTCTGCCTTCTGTGTACCTTGGGCTAACATTATTTTGAATTCAGTTGTGAGTTTTGAGTTCAGTACAGTGAAAGAGTACAACACCCCTTCACAGCCTGCACGTGGTAGTACAGTGAAAGAGTACAACACCCCTTCACAGACTGTGCCAGTACAGTGAAAGAGTACAAGCTTTATATTTCGGTTGCATTTCGTTACTTTAACCTGTAAACTTATTAAAGTGTCAAACGGCTACGTGGTCGGCATACAAGTTGCAGATTGGTCACTGCAACGGTTGAACGTACGTATCGCCATGGTCAGTTAAACAGTCGGAAAACCATTCCTTTGTTTCGAAAGTCGGTCAGATAATCATAGAATCAGTAAGCTGGGAAGTCCGCGGGTGTACGTTTAATTCACTTCTAATACATCCGGCTACCTCCAGCTGTCTGTGAGCTGCGGAAACCTTTATCAAGGAACGGTTACACAACTTTACTTTATTCAGATCCGGACAGAGACTTCCGTGATTGGGATGAGCGAAAAGTTAATATCATGAACGGAATCATTTTCCGTTATAATCAGCAACAGTGTGATGTTGATATAAAGAATCGGCACATCTTTGATGGAATGGAAATATTTACAACAACTTAGTGTATCAGTAGAGACAGTATGTGGTGGCTACCATTCCGTAATCTATTTGCATTTATTCTATAATATATGATGAAGGACATGTAATGATCAGCATAAACATTGTCTTTGCGGAAACATCCTGTGTCCTGTGTGAGTGAGTGTGGTTTTACGACGCTTCTAGCGACACGTAAAACTAAACTCACTCACGCTTTGACAGAGTAATGTGTGCCTGCGTGTATCAATGAGAGTTATCTTACTAGTAAATTGTAATTTTCAAATGAGAGCAAATTCCAATTAAAGTTAGGAATATATCCAAGCCTGGTTATTTAGCCCTACCTAAATGTCCTTAAAATTTCAAAAGATTTAAATATTGACACGCACAGTGCCAGTCCTCAAACTTCACGATGTTGTTGTCGGGCCGACGCCCTTATACCTCCCACGCCACATTTCACACCCCTCGGGTACAGACTGGTCATTCTGTACACTGGAACAAGTGGTTACACAATAACGAATGTAAGCAGACCGCGCCCATTGAAAACAACAAGCTGATTCACAAAGTCGGTCAGCTTCGTAGGGGATTCCCCTTCACGTCCTAACCGCGTGAGAGCGATTCGCTTTGAAAGTGACTACATTTTACAACGCTGGGGAATATTTAGACTAACGCTTATGCTGTTGCGTTGAGCGATGGTGTTGCGTTGAGCTATATGGATGGGTGTTGTATTGAGCTATATTGACCGGTGTTGTGTTGAGCTATATGGATGGGTGTTGCTTTGAGCGATGGTGTTGCGTTGAGCTATATGGATGGGTGTTGTGTTGAGCTATATGGATGGGTGTTGCGTTGAGCGATGGTGTTGTGTTGAGCTATATGAATGCGTGTTGTGTTGAGCTATATGAATGGGTGTTGTGTTGAGCTATATGAATGCGTGTTGTGTTGAGCTATATGGATGGGTGTTGTGTTGGGCTATATGGATGGGTGTTGTGTTGGGCGATGGTGTTGTGTTGAGCTATATGAATGGGTGTTGTGTTGAGCTATATGGATGGGTGTTGTGTTGAGCTATATGGATGGGTGTTGTGTTGAGCGATGGTGTTGTGTTGAGCTATATGAATGCGTGTTGTGTTGAGCTATATGAATGGGTGTTGTGTTGAGCTATATGGATGGGTGTTGCGTTGAGCTATATGGATGGGTGTTGCGTTGAGCTATATGGATGGGTGTTGTGTTGAGCTATATGGAAGGGTGTTGTGTTGAGCTATATGGATGGGTGTTGTGTTGAGCTATGGTGTTGTGTTGAGCTATATGGATGGGTGTTGCGTTGAGCGATGGTGTTGCGTTGAGCTATATTGATCGGTGTTGTGTTGAGCTATATGGATGGGTGTTGTGTTGAGCTATATGGATGGGTGTTGTGTTGAGCTATGGTGTTGTGTTGAGCTATATCGATGGGTGTTGCGTTGAGCGATGGTGTTGTATTGAGAGATGGTGTTGTGTTGAGCTATATGGATGGGTGTTGTGTTGAGCGATGGTGCTGTGTTGAGCTATGGTGTTGTGTTGAGCTATATGGATGGGTGTTGTGTTGAGCGATGGTGTTGCGTTGAGCTATATGGATGGGTGTTGCGTTGAGCGATGGTGTTGTGTGAGCGATGGTGTTGTGTTGAGCGATGGTGTTGTGTTGAGCGATATGGATGGGTGTTGCGTTGAGCGATGGTGTTGTGTTGAGCGATGGTGTTGTGTTGAGCTATATGGATGGGTGTTGTGTTGAGCGATGGTGTTGTGTTGAGCTATATGGATGGGTGTTGTGTTGAGCGATGGTGTTGTGTTGAGCTATATGGATGGGTGTTGTGTTGAGCGATGAAGGGTGTTGTGTTGAGCTATATGGATGGGTGTTGTGTTGAGCGATGGTGTTGTGTTGAGCTATATGGATGGGTGTTGTGTTGAGCTATATGGATGGGTGTTGTGTTGGTGTTGTGTTGAGCGATGGTGTTGTGTTGAGCTATATGGATGGGTGTTGTGTTGAGCGATGGTGTTGTGTTGAGCTATATCGATGGGTGTTGCGTTGAGCGATGGTGTTGTGTTGAGCTATGGTGTTGTGTTGAGCTATATGGATGGGTGTTGCGTTGAGCGATGGTGTTGTGTTGAGCTGATGGTGTTGTGTTGAGCGATGGTGCTGTGTTGAGCTATATGCATGAGTGTTGCGTTGAGCGATGGTGTTGTGCTGAACAATTATGGTGTGTTGATCTATGGTGTTGAGTTAAAATCTGTTAAAAGACACAACTGCCATGTGCGCTATTTTTCAAAATCTGCTTCAATTCTGAGCAAGGCCACGTTGTTTGAATCCAGTATTCTCAAGGAGATGGCAGGATGTTTGCATCATGGTAAAAACATCATTTGACATCCTTCTGCATACACGTATGTGCATTTCGGCGTCGTCCTGGAGGTTTGGTTAAAGAAATATCTAGTGTACTATAAGTAAATATCTCTATATGCATGTGAATGTTTGGCTTCACACTAATATGCTCTTTGTTCCATACCCGAGGTTGTGGGTGGTGGTGGTGGGGTAGTTTAGTGGTCACACCGAGGACCCGGGTTCGATTCCCCACATGGGCACAATGTATGAAGCCCATTTCTGGTGTCCCTCGCCGTGATATTGTTGGAATATTGCTAAAGGCGGTGTAAAACTAAACTCACTCACTCATTCACTGAGGTCGTGGTGTTACTATTACTCATAAATTCGAACTTCCATCACGGCCGTCCAGGGAACACCAACTGTACTGGGTGGTAGATCCAGGTTTGGACAGGTCTGAAGTTGCTACTAGATGGGGAATCTGGGTAAGGCAGGTCAACGTTAACTATAAGCAGGGAGATTATATATATTGTAGAGTATCCCTGCTATAAGGTAGGGTAAGGTGAGAGAGTTCTAAGGTTTTAGCTCCCAAAATGCAAATGAATTTCTCTGAGTGCAGTATGAGCAGAATAAGCTGTATAGTTATTGTGTTACATGTGACACGTGTGCTGATTGACAGTACGTACATGCAGATATAGACGGGTATCCAGGTAGTTGGTACATGCACGTACATGCACGTGTATAGACGATATGTAAAGGTGTGTTTAGGGAAGGAGGTGTGGTGATATATGTATCTGGATTGTTGAGAAAGACACCCTTTGTGCATCACAAGTTGAGCTATTCATGTTGATAGCGTCACGC